TTTCTTCCCCTCAGCCCCACTGCAGCCCCTTGCCCGGGGCGGCGCGGCACAATCACCTTCTCCAGCGCGCAGCCGCTGTAGCTGCTCAGCTGCTTGCACATCTCCGAACTCAGCTGGCAGATCCATGCGTTATCGGACACCGCTGCCAGCGTCTCCCGCAGGAACTGCAGCAGGAAGAGCCGTCACCAGAAGACATCCTAGCAAACCTGCTTCCAGGGGCCACGGGAAGGGAGCAGCAGACAAGGGGAGGTGGAGGGGGTGGTATCTGTCCCCTGGGCGCTGCTGGATGCAGCTCGTGCCACCTGCATCGCGACGCGCAGCCCTGCATGTGCCCAGGGCCCTCCCCACGGCAGCTCCCGCTCTGCCCCACAGCCAGGCCTGCTCTGCCCCACGACAGCTCCTGCTCTGCCCCACAGCCAGCCCCGCTCCAGAGCTCGCCCTGCGCCCTGAGGCAGCTCCCCAGCGAGGCAGCCTGCACGCTGGCAATGTGGCCCGTTCGCAGGAGCGGGACGAGCCCTGCCAACGTTTAATTGCTTCTCCGTGCCCTATTTTAAGGTTCTCCAATTAAGCGGGGAGACACCCCTGGGACTGGTGTTCTCTAACCCACCGTTCCAAGCAAGCCTGAAAGCTCCTTTTTATCTCTCCCTGCAGGAGCTGTAAGTGACACTCTGCACTAATCCACGACTTCGTTTCTGAAGTGACGAGAACCAAAAACGTGACAGCGAAAGACAGACAGCCCTTGATGTGGCAACCAGGGCGAGGGCAAATACCTGCCTCTCTGTGAGCAGCAAGGCCCATCCCCACGCGCTAAGAACCAGCGAGCTCCAGGGGTGACTTTAGCCTGCCTTTCCCTAGCCATTAACTCCACAGGCACAGGAACCCTTACCAGGAGCAGCTTCTCCTCCCATTCCTTCTGGCACAGGGATTTCTCCGTGTTCTCTGGAATAAAGCACATTTTCACACTTTTTCTCATCCTCACAACACACAGCACAGGCAGAACCGTGGGCTGAGGAGCCAAACCACGTTCCAAACACAGACACAGGCAGCCCCGTGCAAGCAAGGGGCTTCCAGTAAAGCTTCCCTGAGCAGGAGCCTCTTCCCACCTTCGAGGTGCTCCACCAAGGGAGGAAGCTTCTTGCTCCACAGCTGGTCGAGCGCGGGGTGGACACTGGAGTGTAGGACATGCAGCAGGCGCAGGGCGGCTGCCCCGCGGCCGCCTCCTAGGACCCACCTGGGGATTTGGGGTGGGAGGGAAAGGCATCAGTGCAGAGAAAACAGCCAGGGTGCGAGTCAGAACATGAAACAAAACGCAGCAATTGCGCCCTGGGACAGGACTGCCTCTGCATCAGCAGAGCCGCCGCTGCCTCCGTCTGCTGCAGCTGCTGCTTGCAGCAGTGCTCTCCGGAGCGCAGCTCTCCAGGCCCCGCGCTCTTCCCTGCCTGAAGGGGAGAACATTTCCTGCGCTTCCCCAGGGTGGAGGAGCCCTTTTGCCAAAGCCCTGCAACAACAGCTGGAAACATGCGCTAATACAACGCGTCCTGGCTATCTACGGGCGACTCTGCATTTCCATAACCTACATGGAGACAGTCTCACGGGCAGAGGGAACGGGATGCACAGAAACAAGACCGCACGGAGTGCGGCCCAGATCTGGAGGCTGCCTCCCCCCTGGGAGCAGCGGGAGGCAACGAGGCCGGCGCAGGCGCTCGCCCTGCCTGCAGCACCCGCTCAGCGCCCCTTCCCCTGCTCCCCACGGACAGGGCAGGCGGAGGCGATTCCTCTGCGGTGACAGTGACGAGGAGAGCGCTGACACCAGGCCACTTACCAGCAGCCTCGTAGTTAGAGCATAGGGAGAAGGAAGATTTGCTGCAAACAGAAGGAGAGGAGGTGTAAGACGGCATCTCAGCGCGGGAGCAGCCGTGTGGCCCTGGTGCCGTCGGGACGAACCGTTGAGGTCGTAGCGGATGAGGGAGGCGCTTTCTCCCTCCTCTTGCTTCTTCAGGGCCAGGTGCATGAGGCTCTTGCAGAGGGGAGCCAGGGCGCTGGTGAACTGCACGGGGGTCACAAACTGCAGCAGAAAGGGC